TGTTGGGGGCCTCCGTCCTGGTTGGTCGGGCTGTGGAGAAGACACAGAGAGCAGCAGTCAGTCCTCCCTGCACGCACATACCCCGTGGCCGTGGCCTCCTATGTGAGTAGCCACCGCACCCGTCCATAGCCCGCAGGAGGGGATGTCCCGGTGGAAGGCCGTGTGTGGTCAGCCCAGCCCTCCCCATGTCACAGGGGCCCTGAGGTGGCCAGAGAGCCGTGCTACCCTGGTTTTCGCCCAAAGACGGCCGTGTTTGCGCAAAACCTTTGTAGTGTAGACGTAACCTGAGTGTGTTTCAAGAGAAGAAAAAAACCTCTCTCAAAATCATAGAAGACTAGGACTAGAAGGGACTTCGAGAGTCATCACGTCCAGTCCCCTGTCCTCATGGAAGGACCCAGTACTGTGTAGACCATCCCCGATAGACATTTATCTAACCTCCTCTTAAATATCTCCAGGGATAGAGATTTCACAACCTCCCTGGGCAATTTATTCCAGTGTTTCACCACCCTGACAGGCAGGAACTTTTTCCTAATATCCAGCCTAAACCTCCCCTGCTGCAGTTTAAGCCCATTGCTTCTTGTTCTATCCTCAGGGACCAAGATGAACAAGTTTTCTCCCTCCTCCTTGTGACACCCTTTTAGATATCTGAAAACTGCTATCCTGTTCCCTCTCTATCTTTTCTTTTCCAAACTAAACAAACCTAATTCTTTCCGTCTTCCTTCATAGGTCATGTTCTCTAGACCTTTCATCATTCTTGTTGCTCTTCTCTGGACCCTCTCCAATTTCCCCAATCATGTGGCATGTTTTAAAGCTTTCTTTCTTTCTTTCTTTCTTTCTTTCTTTCTTTCTTTCTTTCTTTCTTTCTTTCTTTCTTTCTTTCTTTCTTTCTTTCTTTCTTCAAAGGAAAGAAGGGGAAAACCTCACGATGAAAAAGGCAAACACAACCTCTAGACCTTTAACCATTCTTGTTGCCAAAATGGAATTCAATGACGTCCAGAGCCAAACCCTACCCACCACTGAAATTCACTGGCAAATTTCAACAAACACCAATTTTCTCCTGGGGTCTCTTCCCCACTCTCCTGGAGTTGTCCAGCCCCCTCAGGATGGGAGTCAGATCGGACGGATGCTGGGCGTCCATCACGCCGCTCATCTGGAGAAGTGGGCTGTGCCCACGAAAGCTCATGGTCCCAGCTCCATGTTCTTTTTATCTTTAATGTGCTACCAGCCCATTGGTTGTGAAGTTTTCCTGTTCTAGTTATAGACTAACTCGGCCACCCCCTGAAGCTCTAGTCTAGAGGGAAACATCCTTCTCCTGTACCTTGCTCTTTGGCAGCTCTTGTCTAGCGAGACATGGGCACCCACACCTCCCCCTCCAATCTGTGCAAAAAGACAGCCCATCGAGACCTTTGTGTGTGCTCCTCCTTCCAACTTGTGATAACAGCAGGAAGGGAGCAGCACTTAACAGCTCGTTGCATGTCCACTCCCCACGGCCCCTGGCCAGTTATTTACTTTCACTCCCAGTTCCTAGGAATTGCTCGTGACTGGCTCAGTGGGCTGAGTGCCAGATCCTGTGTCCCACCTGCCCGACCCAACCAAATATAACTGGTCCCGGAGTAAGATGAGGCTCAGATGCTTCCATCCCTGCCGGGATCCCCGTCCGTCTCTTCCACCGGAGTCCCAGGCCAGCACACGGTGAGTGAACGACCCTGCCGGGGAACCAGGAGGAATTCCCAATGGTCGGCCTGAGGGTCGCCTAAAGTTCTGAATTCTAGTGGCTCAAGGTAAAGCGGCGAGGAACCGAGAGTCCTGGGCTCTCTCGCAGGGGGCCCCTAGACGACCCAGACTATAGGAAAAACATTTGCCAAATGGCTCTGCATCTTGCGTCTTTTTCTCATTGTTTTGTCGGACGAGGCTTTTCTGAAATTTCACCCGTCTACACAGGGCCAAATTTCAGAAAAACCTCCCTTTTTGACATATCCCTTCTCCCTCATACAATGAGGATTACAGGTATGGCAAAAGAACGCGTCTGCTTTTTTGGAAATTGTTCCGAAAAAGTGGATGCATTTCGTAATCTAGACCCAGCCTGGGAGAGGAGCAGGCTCGAGTGGTTAGAGCAGGGGATGGGAATGAGGACAGACCATGACACTGGCAGTGGGAGTAGAGGACTCAGCTGAGCCCTGGGGCAGGAGTTCCCACGTAATCTAGACCCAGCCTGGGAGAGGAGCAGGCTCGAGTGGTTAGAGCAGGGGATGGGAATGAGGACAGACCATGACACTGGCAGTGGGAGTAGAGGACTCAGCTGAGCCCTGGGGCAGGAGTTCCCAGTGGTTAAGGCTCAACACACGCGC